GCTCTTAACAAATATATTAACCCATTTGCTAAAATTAATAAAAAAGGAAGGAACAACGGGAAGGCTTTAAATTGGCACGGAAACGTGCACCCAATAACGCGATTTAAATGCAACGAACGAACCGACCTCCGACCGGATTACGATACTTCGCTTCGAACAATAACAACTTTTTTTTTTACCAAACGTTTGGAAATGCGGAAAATACTTTACAAATAACTACTTACAAAAACGACGCGGAGTAAAAAATACTTCGAAAAGAAGGAGTTTTTACCCGGCTTTATACCAAATAGCTATTGGTTGGAAGTACGGTTTTTACCTTTAAATAGCTACCCCGATCCGTAATGCTCCCTATGGGCTATACAATTCGAAAAGGGTAAATAAATTTATATATATATTCCTTTTTCGAAAAGTAATTAATTTTAATTTTTTTTCGTTAATTTGTTACAATTAAAATTACAATTTCCTTTTGTTATATTGCTTTTGCAGCATTGCAAAGTTCCAATATCCTTAATTACCAATTAAGTTTTAATGCCCCAATAAATAATTTTAAAATGCTTTTTTTTCGCCCCTTAATGGGTTTAAATACCGCCGATATGCATTTACCGCTACCCAAACGTTTAAGCCCGTTTGCCGTACCATTCAAAGGTTTTTTTACTTCCTTTTCGAACAAATAATAATATTTTTTACCACAATGTACGTTTAAAATGCGGTAATTGCTTTGGCGTATTGCGCTAAGCATGCTTTTTACGGGCTTTTTAAAATGTGCTACACTTTGCATATCCTTTAAAATTTAAATATATCGTACCATTAATTTAAAGCGTTCCCCGTACTATACCGTTTTTACCTAACTTTTTGTTTATAAGGTACAATATTTTACGGTTATTACAAACCGTTTACGGGTTTTTTTACGTTTTTTTTTGGTAATTAGCCGGTTCGGCACGTTAAAACATTTTTTTAGGCCATTTTTTTAGCCTTTATTACTCCTTTCTTATAATACCCCCGTCCTTTCCGGGTATTTACCCGTTAAAATCCGGTATTTTCCTTATTTTATAAATTCGTTTCCAATAAGCTTGTTTTATACGTTTAAACAATTTTTTTCGTAATATCCTTTTTTAAAATTTACGAATTTTCCAATTCGTTATAATTTATTTATTTAACCAAATATTTTCGTTTTTGCAAAAGCCTTTTGTATTTTAACAAAGCCTTTATTTTAAAACGATCCTTTTTTTTTCGATTTTTGGTTTTTTATTTTTTGGTTTTTTGCCGGGCCTTTTTTTAAACGCCCGTAACAAATTTGCCGGAAATACGTTATATATTTGGTAATTTACCGGAAGCTTTAACCGAAACGCCAAACCGGCTAACCTAACCATTTTTAAAACCTAAAAAGGTTTTAACCATTTATTTAATAGCTTTTTTAACGGCCTTTTTATTTTAATATTTGCTATATTTAGCAATACCCAATCGCTTACCCCGAAAAGCACCGGGGTTTTGTTTTTGTTATAATACTTTTTGTACATATTATTTGCTTTTTTTAGCAATTTTTTGGCTTGTTTTTTAATTGCTTTTAAAGCCCCCGCCTTAATTTTAACCGTTACCGAAAGTTTTTTTTTAATTACCCGAAAATTATAAAACTTTCGTAAATAAAACTTTATTAACAAAAACGCCGGGGTTTTTTTGCAACCCCAAATGCACGCTCGTATTATGCACTTACGCTATTAAATGCAATAGCAACGCTTAATCGTTTTGCTTTTCGCAATAAAAGCACCGAAAATAATACTTTACTATTTGGTTCGTCCGTTCCGTTTGCCCGTTGGTTTAAAAATGGTATGCTATTAATAGCCTTTTTGCAATTTTTAAATATCCGGCAAAAATTGTTTAAAACCCGTTTGTAAATAATTTGTTCCGGTTCGATACAATCTTTTCGGGCGTTTTTAGTAACCTTTAAACGTATGCAAATAAAAAATTCCCCAATTTTTTATTGGTTAATTTCGTAAACGTTGGAATAAAAAAGTTATATTTAATAAACCGGTTAACCATTACCAATATTACGTTGCGCTTTTTACCGGTTCCATTTATTAACGTTAAAAATTTTCCGATAAAATTTATCGATAATTTTTGTTCCGGGCGGTTTAATACGGGCAAAAATGCTAGCAACCCGTAAAGTATTTGTATTTTTAGCTTTATTTATTAATATATTTAATACATCCGCACGTATTTGCGTACGTTTTTAGCCATACCCAGCCATTTAAATTACCGTTTAAGCTTTTTTAAAGTTTTAGCCATGCTTTTGTAACCCCCCGTCGAATTATCGTATTATTTTTAAAGCATTATTCGTTTAAACGGTACTAAATTCGGAATTTAAATTTTTTTTTGTGCTTAAATAAACCGTTATTAATTTCCTAAACGTTGGGCTTATTTTTTTAAATACCGTTTTAAACGAAATTATTTTTTATTTATGTTTCGAAAATGCGCTTTAATATCGTTTTGGTATCCTTTTTAATAATGGTTGTCCTTACGTAAGTTGCTTTTTGGAATTTAGCTAACAAATTGCTTTGGAATTTTTTTTTTGCCATATTGGCTTTCCCGTTTATTGGTATATTTTAAAAACGTTTTAACAAGTTATTTGCGGGGTTCCGGTATTTTGGCTTCCATTTAATCGTAAAATCGTACTTTATTAAATTTTTAAATCATTTTGCTTAGCGCTTTATTACCTTTTTCTTTATTAAAATATAGGTATAGTTTAAATAGTTGGTAATTACTTTAATAATTTTTTGTAAATAAACCAGGTAATGCCGTTACTTTTCGAAAGCTTTTACGATTGTTAACAATTTTAAATTAAAAATTGTATAGCGCAATTTTTTTTATTGCAGCTTTTTCGATATGTAAATTACCGGATGTTACCGGCCGTTTTGTAATTGCAACAATACCGTTTTTATCGCAAAAGCCAAAGCGTTGGTTCGCACGTACAGCGGCTTTAAAAAGTCGAAATGCATTAATACCAAAGCTTTCGTAAATAATAGCTTTAATTTGCAAAAAGCCTTTTTTGCAATATTTTTTAAATAAAATACGATATTTTTGCTAAAAAAATCCGTTAAAAACATAGTAATTTTTGCGTAGCCCTTTACGAATTTCCAATAATACCCCGTAAAATTTAAAAATATTTGGATGTTTTTAACGCTTTTCGGTATCCTTTATTTTAAAATTGCAATAATTTTGTTTGGCAAAATTTCGACCCCGAATTTGGTTATTTTAAACTTTAAAAAATCGATACTATCCGTTTCGAATTTGCATTTGGCCGGGTTAACGTAAAATTTAAACCGTTCGAATCGTTTTAATACCGTTTTTATTGCTTCGCGGTGCTTTTTTTATATTTTCGAAAAAATAAAAATGTTGTCCAAATATACAATGCAATTATTATTAATTAATTTTTTAAGCGCTATATTAATAAAGCTTTAAAACGTTGTTAAAGCGTTGGCCAAACCGAAAAGCATTACTAAATATTCGTAATATCCATATTTGCAGCGGAAAGCAATTTTCCATTCGTTTTTTTATCGGATTCGTATTTTATAATAAACGTTTTTTAAATCCAATTTAGTAAAATATTAATTTTTAAATACCCGGTTAAATATTTTATAAATTAACGGAAATGTTAGCCGGTTTTTTTTGGTAATTTTGTTAAAACCCCGATAATTAATACAAAAGCAAAGTTTCCCGTCCTTTTTTAAAACGAATAAAATCCCGGCGCCGGCGGGGCTAGTTAAATGCCGGATCCAACCTTTCGTTATGGCTTTATTAAAATACCTTCGAAAAGTTTTTAATTCCTTTTCGGATAAAAAATAAATGCTTTTGTAAAGCGGTATCGTTTTTTCCTCCAATTCGATCGCGTAATTTTAGCTTATATATTTTAGCAAAAGGTTCGATTTATAAAATTGCGCATATTTTGCAATTATCTTTTTAACCCATTCCGGAAAAGCTTTTAACTTTTTTTTAAGGTTTTTCGGGGTTTCCGGGCGTACAACCGTTAGTACGGCTATTGCTTGTCCCAATTGGATTAATTTTTTAGCTATTTCCAACGAAATTATTTTAATTTTTTTAATAATTACCGGAAACTTTTACTTTATATCCCCAAACCGGATTTTAATATTTTTTTGCTAAAATTAAAGCATGTTTAACGTAATGTTGTACCCAGCCCGGGGTACCATTACGTAAAATACTATTAACTTTCGGGTTATTCCCTAGCTATTCGTTACCCAAATTTTATATTCCTTTACCTTTAGCGTAAGCATGCGTTTTTTGGTATCGAACCATGCTAAGTAACCTTTATTTAGCACCGGTATTTTTTTTGCTTTTACCAAAAAACGGCTATGCAATAAATTAACGTCGCTTTTATTGTTAATTAACGCTTTTAATTTTACCCGGCGACCGTTAATTCGTAAATATATTTCGGTTTTTTAGCGCGTTTTGGCCGCCGGGGCGCATTTTTAAGCCCCGGTATTTAAACGGCTAAATAGCGGTGTTAAATTGGGTAACGATATTTTGCTTTTTTTGGGGCACGCCGGCCGGATATGGCCTAGCTTTTTACACCCGTAACACCGTATTTCGGGCCTTTTCCCTTTTGCCTTTTGTATGGTCGCTAAGGCCAACGGGGTTTCCGGGTTATTCGTCCGTATTTTGCATATTGCAACGATATGGCTTAATTGCCCGCATTTAAAGCAAGTAACCGATTTTTTAAAGGCTAAAATATTTATATCCTTTAAGGTCCTTTTATACAATCCCGATATTATTTTTGCTTTAAAAGCTTTAGCTTGCAATTTTTTTATAATATAAAAAAAGCTTTTAAATATTACCCGTTTTTGGATTTCGGGGCGGAACCGGTTAAAAAGTAATGTTATTTTTATTTATTTGGGTATTAATTCGAAAAGGTCGTTTTTTACCAAATCCCAACGAATCCGGAACGCTTTAAACGATTTATAATCCTTTTATTTAATAGCGGTATTTCCCGCAAGCTTTTTAATTGCTAGCCATATCCGCAAATCGGGGTTTTTTAATTTTATTTAAAGCTACCGCAAAAAATCGGCCCAAATAAGCAATACCCCGGTATTTAAATAATGCATTTACTTATATTTTATTTATTATGCTCGCTAACAATGGTTAAAAGTGCTAAAAGTTATTTAAACCTTTATACGGTCCTTACCGTAACGTTTTTTTTCGTTTTTAAAAATAAATTTGTAATCGTTAATATAATGGGCGATATTTTGCCAAATTACCAATTTTTTAAACATAAAAAGTTTAAAAGTAACTTTGCTTTACGTAAAACCTTTCCATTGTTTAAAAGTATTTCTTTTATTTTCGTTTAAGCTTTTATGCGCATACTTTAACCTTTTATTTTGGATTTTTTGGATTAAACGAACGCGTTTATTTTAAGCCTTTAGCGCGTTATTTATTTTTTGCAATTTTTTTACGAAAAGGTTTTCGAAATCGTTGGAAATTTGCGGGGTTTTTTTGGTATTTTATTCCGGTAGTTTAACGGCTTTTTCCAACGTGCTCAACGTAGCGTTAAACGTTATTATAAGCGGTACGAAGTTGCAAATGCCCTTTTTAAGCTTGTTCGATCTTTTTCGGTAATTACCCGGGCTTATTTTTTAAATAAAAAAAGTATAAAAAAAGGAATAATATATTAAAGGTTAATCGGTGCAAAAGCGGGTAATTACCGGGTTACGGGCCGAATACGGTATTTTTTTTGTTAAGCTTTCGTAAATTTTTTACCAAAAGTGCTATTGCTAACAAAAATTATTCTTTTTTTAACCTTTTTTTTTTTTGTGCCCTTTTGGGCACCCGGGGTCGGTTTTTTAAGTTTTTCGCGTTCCAAACGCTTTCGTGCAATTTAAGCTTTACCCTATTTTTTAACATCGCTATTATGCTTTGGCCGCGA